ATGAAACCATTCAGGAAAACAGGGGGCAACTGACGAAACAGTTGGAGTGACATCATCTAGCAAATTTAGAAAAAAGAGCCTCCTTTTTGGGGAGCCCCATCTTGGCCTTGCAAAGGATATTTTGTTTGAGGAATTAACCCCATTCCATGCTAAGGGAAAACTTAAGGAGAGAGCATGCTGTTCCCAAAAAGTCAGGTACCTGGAAGTGGGAAAGAGGAGAGCTTCTCTTTGTGAAGCATTCGGTCAACAAGCATGTATTAAGCATTTGCTACGAGTCAGGCACTGTGTTAAGCAACTGAGACACAAAGAAACATAGTCCATGCCCTCGAGAAGCTCACAGTTTAATGGGTCGATAGCATGCAAATCACTAGGCATATACAAGTTAAATACAGAGGTATCCTATGTAAATATAAGTAATCTCAGAAGGGAAGAACTAACAGTTGGGAGTGGAGGAGATTGCCTCTGAGAAGGCACCCTGCAGAAATTGGTATTTGGACTGTTGAAAGAAGTTAGGGAAGCCAGTAAGTGGACGTAAGGAGGGAGAACATTCCAGGCATGAGAGATGGCCAGGGAAAGGACATGGCACCTTGAGATGGAGTGTCATGTTCAAAGAACACATAGAATGGGGATGGGGGTTAAAGTGCAAGAAAATTGTAAAGGTAGGAAGACACCAGGATGTAAGAAGTTTTAAATATCAACCAGAGGATTTTATAGTTGATTCTGGAGATAATTTTGAGTCATTTGGAGCTTACTGAATATATGGGGAAGGGGAAGAGGTATTCTGACCTGGTCAGATTTGTGCTTTAGGAAAATAACTTTGTCAGTTAAGTGGAGGATGATCTGGAGTGGTGTGGGATTTGAGGCAAAGAGACAAACCAGAAAGCTATTGTAGTAATTGTTAATTATTAATAATAAAATATTATAATAATCCAAGAAAGAGGTAACAATAGACCTCCACCAAGGCTGTGTGAATGGAGAGATGAGGACATATAAGAGAGCTGAACTTTTTAATGCAAAGGTAGAGAAACAAAAAGAATTTGTAGGAACATCTACTAGAAAAAAACTGCAAAATAATATTCAACCTCAGTGTCTTTGAGAGAGGAACTTATAGTTCTAAGCAATGGATCTCAGTAAAATTTCATTAGTGCTGACAGTGTCAACTATGGCTTTCTCTAAAGGTAGCACATTTAAATAGGTCCATCAAACTGGGTAATGCATTTTTTAGCCTTATTATAAGTGTGCAAATAGTTTTCAACAGACAGACTTTGCTATTATGGGCAGAAAAGTGGGTATATTTTTCTGCTGAATAGCTGGTAGATATTGATCTGGGTCTCAACAAGCAAGAACCTACTTTTTAAACAATCTAAAATGTTTAATTTTGTGGTCAAAGTCTGTGCTTGTAAAGTAAATAAGAAAATTACTGACCGTACATGCTTCTAGAAATAGGAGGTCTAACATACACATCAGGTAGAGACCTTGAACCCACAGTCAATGTGTCATCTGAAAATTAGGACAAGGAGATGTTTGTAAAATCTCTTTCAAAATACACTATAAAGATAAATTTTATGGAAAGATAAATATATGTACACATATATGTGTATGTATCTACATGTATGTATACACATACACATACATAACACACACATACACACACACACATATATATATACATATATATATACATATATATATACATATATATATACATATATATATATACATATATATATATATACACATATACATTCCACTGTCTATATGTTGCAGTTCATAAAAGATTACTGGGTATTTGAGATCAGTACCTTTAATACCAGAATATAGCAATTTAGCTGTGAATATACCTTAAATTAAGTATTTATACATTCCCCAACTGATCATATTGTGGCCATTACAGCAGAAGACTTTCTTTGGGTTTTGGTTTACATTGGCTATTTAATATTAGCCAGTTCCTCAGGTTAATGTTGGCATTAGTTCATTGTTAAACACTAAAAATAAAACATGTATTGGTCTAACATTCAAATTACATTTAATAATGCATCCCAAGCTGAGTGTAAAAAATCATTAGAGTTTCTTATAATATTTGGATAGTATGCTTCTGAAAAAAAAGTTCTAACTTTAGAAAAATGCATATTTGGGAATATCTGATTACCTGAGTTTTCAGCCTGATCTCTCAAACAACTGTTTCTTAGGGAAATTTTGAAGTGGTCCAGCCATGGAGGAATTGATGGAATTAGGCATGGTTCATTAGCACAACTCACCTACCAGATGACACTATCAACTCACCCATTTTCTCTTCCAAGTCACTGTCCATGTTTTCATCTATATCTAATGATAATTGCTGCTAGGCTCAAAAGGCTGGGGAGCTATAGCTTTTTCCTTTCCTCTAAGAGATCCTCTACTCTGGACTCAGCTATGGGGTCTGAACAAAGCTCAGTACTGAGTATGGCCTATAATAAAACAGGTTAAGCTTCTTTTTATCAAAATCTTTGATTCTGTCCTGCCCCAGCATCCTGGGGGAAAATCATTTAAGCTGAGGTTTGGGCCCATGCCTGGGGTCTTCCCAAAACAGGAAGTAGAAAGATACTAAATATACAATAAGAACTGGGCGAGGGACAGGTATTTATTTCCTACTCAAAAAGGAAATACTAAGCATAAAGCATTCACAAGCATATTGTGACAGAAAAGACAGAAAATCAGGGTTCATTAGTAATTACTGCTATATTCTCTCAGGAGGCTGAGACTTCTCATCAGAATGCCCATCAATTGGGGAATGGCTGAACATTGTGGTATGTGATTGTGATGGAATACTACTGTGCTATAAGAAATGATAAACTGGATGATCTTACAAAAACATGGATAGACTTACATTAAATAATGAAGAGCGAAATGAGCAGAACCAAGAGAACATTGTATACAGTAGCAGCAAAATTGTTTTAAGAAGAATTTTGAGCCAATAAGTCATTTTAACAATTATAAATACCCAAATTAACCGCAAAGGGCCTGTGAAGGAAGACACTACCTACATCCAGAGAAAGAACTGATAAATAGAAGTATATGTAGAATGATTTTACGTGTGTGTGTGTGTGTGTGTGTGTGTGTGTGTGTGTATATATGTTTATGTGTAATGGTAGCCATCTCCAGGCCAGGGGTGAAGGGGAGAAAAAAGAGTAAAAAGTTACATGCAAATTTTATTGTGTATTTAAAAGGAATGGCAAGTTGTACAGAATAGATTTGTAGTTTCATGTGCAATCTTTTTCTACTGTGCTATGTTATGGAAATGCTTATTCTATTTCTTAAGTTCAGAATACAATAAATATTTTTTTTAAAAAGAACACGAAGCAGTTGCGGGAGGGGGAAGGGTCTCCTGAAGTGACATTGCTACATTTCACCTCAGCTTTTCATTGTCCCTCTAAATGTCCATGTCTTCTGACCAGTCAGGCCAGAGGTTAGGCTCTTCCTTTTTTTGGTGGTATTCTTCTCTGATACAAACATTCCTCCTGCTTCCAGTACTCTGACCAAGGGATCTAGAACCCCTGAGCGTCTCAAGCTCCCAAGGGCCAGCTCCCAAGCCTAGACACAACCATCTCAAGGTCCATATTTAGTCACTTACACTCAGGAAAGAAACAAAAAACAGAAGAGACAGTTACGGCTTTGAGAATTAGTCCCAGGCTCATTTAGGCAGGAGATGTTCTTTAGCTAGCTCCCAAATTCTCACAGCAGCAGGGTGGCCAAGGTGGGGCAAAGGGAGAGCTCTTCTTCACCTACTTTTCTAAGGAAGTTTCTGAGCTATATAATGCCACCTGCAAGGTCAAAGGAAGAGAGTAATAGAGGTAGAATCACTCTCTTTCTAAATGTCCATTGAACTACTCTTACTCACTGACTGAAAAAGGGATTTCTCTGACCTCTCCAAAGTGTCCAGGAAGAAATCAGGCAGAGGAGACTCTGCAAATACTCTACTCAAATCCCAGTTAAACATATTTTTTTTTCCTTTCTACATTTAGCTAATAATAGCGAAAGGACAGGAGGTTTGTTCTAAAAGATGTTGAAGAGAAACCAGTAGGACTTTGATAAAATTTAATATGAGATGGTACAGTGGATAGAGCTCTGGCCTTGGAGTCAGGCGGACCTGAGTTCAAAGCTGACCATAGACACTTGATACTTACTAGCTGTGCGACCCTGGGGAAGTCACTTAACCCTTATTGCCTCACCAAAAAACTAAAAAAAAAAAAAAGATTTAATATGAGATATGTGGAGAAAGAAGAGGAGTTAAGGATGACTCCAGAATTTTAAGCTTAAGGGACATGGAAGACTATGTATGTGTTAACAAAAAATGGAAAAATTAGGAAGGGTTGATCTTTTATTGGGGAAAGAAGGTAAGCATAAGATGAGATAATATCTATAAAAAGAATTTATAACTCTTAAAATAATATATAAATATTAGTAATTATTATTGTTATATGTAAAGTTTCAGGTGGCAGTCAGATGTTTAAGTACAGATATCCTATAGAATCTTAAAACTAAAATGGATTTTAGAGATCATTCAGTGTGATTTTCACTTAACCAATTAGGAAAATGTGAAACTTTGTGATTTAACCAAGGTGACCCGGCTAATTAGAAGCAGAAACTAGGCTAGAAATGGATCTCAACTACCAATCCAATAATTCTTTTTCTGCCCTAGCATGATGACTTTTCATGAACCTGAGAAATATGAAAATGAAAATAGAATGAAACATCTGTCCTGAATAAGCATGTTTGGGAATTATCAGCATACACGTGAAAGAAATAGGAAACAGTTTATGTCACAATCACAGATGTCACTGAAACAGAGAAAACACCATCAAAGATTTCACAATGAAACTGTAGAAATTACTGTAAATCATTAGAGAATACTAGATATCTGAGTTGGTTCCAAATCTGATACTTTATCTTCTATTTACAAAGATCAAAGTAAATGAAAATAGTTAATATTTAAGCATCCTCCAGTTTGTATCTTTCTTTTTAGCAGAGAGAAGCCATTTTCATTGCTTGTGTGAGAATGCTTCATCATGATTTCTCCTGTGTTAGTCCTGTTGGTGAGCTTTCTTTGCCATTGTGTGACTGCAGGACGGAGTAAGTATTTCACTTTTAATTTGCAAAATAATTAATACATCCAACCATTTAGTACTTGTAAAGATTCAAGGAAAACTGATAAGTCCCCTTATAATGTTGGTGTTAGGGGATATGTCTAACATTCATGTCATGGGATTTCCACGCATATTAGGTTTTTATAATACATAACTAGGAATATAATTTGAGAATTGGTATACACAAATTTATATAACAAGTATTTTTTCTAGTGGAAATTAATATTATACATTAATGATCTAATGGTCTAATAAGCCTTTAAGACATTTGTCTTTTCTAAGAAAATAGCTACACAGACCATAATGTACTAGAATCTAAGAATAATGATCACTTAAATTTATCTTTTAATTGTTTTCCTACTTTGATTATGTGGATAGAGAGGTAGGCCTAAAGTCAGGAAGACCTAAGTTCAAATCCAACCTCAAATAATTACTGGTTGTATGATCCTGGGCAAGTCATTTAACCCCTCTTTGCCTCAGTTTTCTCATCTGTAAAATGGGGGTGATAATTAGCACCTACCTTCTGGGGTTGTAGTGAGGATGAAATGAGATAACACTCGTAAAATGCAAACTTTAAGAGCACTATACAAATGCTATTATTATTATTATTATTATTATTATTACTATTAGTGATTATGTTCCAAATCTGCCTTCTCCAATGAAGGCTTCTTTTTGGTAATACACAACTTAGCACCTTACATTTGCATCATCAATTCTACCTCGCTTTTGGGAAGGTGGCTTCTGTTAGAAAAGAAGATGTTCTTGCCTTTCTCTATAAAATTTACAGGGTCATAACTTCAGAGCTGGAAATGAACTTAGAATCTACCTAGTACAATCCTCTTCTTTTATAAATAAGGGAACCTTAGAGTGGTTGTTATTTGCTCAAGTTCACAAAGGTAAGTGTCAAAGCTAAGGTTTGAACTCAGGTCCTCTGGTGACCAACCAGATAGTGCAGCAGATAGAGCACTGGGCCTGGAGTTCAAATCTGGCCTCAGACATTTACTAGCTATATGACCCTGGACAAGGCACTTAACCCCTGTTTGCCTCAGCTCCTCATCTATAAAATGGGGACACACGGGAGCAAGAAATGGCAAACCACTCCAGTATCTTTGCCAAGAAAACGTCATGCGCAAAGTCCATGGGGTCACGTAAAGGCAGACAAGACCGAACAACAACCATCTCTGATGCCCAAACCAGCTTTCTTTTCACTGTGTCAGTCAAAATTGTCTTCTATTGGTTTTTATTGTAAAAGTATTAGAGAGACTGATAAGAGAGCCAATGGCAGGGCTGGCCTTAGGCAAGACTGTAATTATAGAGGACAGATTTTAGGTTCTTCTTCTCTTCTTTCATTTCTCCCTCCAGCTTATCCAGTGTCCCTATTCTTTCTCTGAGGTCCCAATGGCTGCCCATTCCTGTATCCCTTAGCCTGTCCCCTTTTTGTTTTGGGTTTTTTTTTTGTTTGTTTGTTTTATTTTTTTAAGGCAATTGGGGTTAAGTGACTTGCCCAGGGTCACACAGCTAGTAAGTGTCAAACATTTGGTCTGAGGTCAGATTTGAACTCAGGTCCTCCTGACTTCAGGGCCAGTGCTCTATCCACTGCACCACCTAGCTGCCCCCACATGTCCTCTTTTCAACAGTTATGTACTGTAGACCTTCATCTCCTTCTTCATCTTCTGTCAAAGTTTGTTCCATCCTTTTAAGGCTCATCTCTCCATTCCAAATAACTAACTCAAACTGAGGTACTTATGGTTGAGAAAGGAGTAGTTTGGGACCCTTCCAAGATATACATGTATTTTTATGAGTGAGTCTTTTAGAAACATGGCCTCAGACTAAAGCAATGGATTTTTATGTAATTTCAGGCTCTTGTAATAGTAGGGTAAAGAGGATAGTTTTGGAGGAGTGTGGTAAAATGGACATCCTGCTCAGTGGTGCCACTTTTACATTTCTTGCTGTACCACCTCCTTAAATTTTCTGAGGCTTCCTAAACACCAGGTACCCAACAGGAAGAAGACCACAGGGGCATTCTTGGTTCCCTCACTTTTTCCCCTGTTCCCTTATAATAGAATACTAATTTTAAAAATATTTTAAAGAAGACTTAAAATCAGTTCAGGATATATGCAGTAAGGGAAAGTTTATCAATAACAAATAGAAAGGATAGTGCCATAGGGCAGCTAAATTTTGAGTATTTTGAGCTAGATTCCCAGTTCTGTCCCTTACTATGTGATGCTGGACAGGTCACTTAACCTCTCTGGCTCTCACTTTCCTCATTTATAAAATGAAGGTGTTGGACTAGATAACCTTTAAGGTTTCTTCCAGATCAAAATCTATAATCCTACAACAACCAGATTCTTTTAATTTAATCTTAATTCTTCACACCTACTATGGAATGCTAGGTCTATATATGGTATTGTGGAACCACTGATCTTGGAGTTAGAAGTCCTGATTTTGAGCATTGGCTAAGCCACTCCTATGACTAAGAGCAAGTCACTTACAATTTCTATGGATTTTAGTCTCCTTGCTTGGAAATTCTCATAATACTTTTACTGTCCACCTCACAGAGTTGATATGGGGAAAGTCCTCTGTAAATCTTATAGCACTCTGTAAATGTGAGTAAATATACTTTGCTTGGGCTTCCTCCTATTTAACTTCCTTCTGCCTGATTTTGACTGGTCAGTATGAATTCTAGTTCTGTTACTGTGGATTTGGCTGACCATGGTTGCTATGCTTTGATCCTCTGAAATCTACTTAGCACAGGATTTAGAGTTGTCAGGGTATTCCTTCCACTCTACCACACAGAGCTCTGAATTATGGAGTATGAGAGGCTAGGATTTAGGCAAGACCTTTCCAAGTGTAACCCCCATTCTGCACTGCTTACATAACCTTCATTTTGCATACCTACAGGCACCTAGGTATCACAGTGGACTGGGGATAAAGTTTTGTAGGCTTGGGTTCAAGCTTTGCCTCAATTACTAGCTGTGTAAACCTGAGCAAATCTTTGTCTGCCTCAGTTTCTTCAAACGTGAAACAGTAATAATAATAATGCCTACCTTTCAGGACTGTTGTGAGCATCAAATGAAATAATATTTGTGAGGTACTTAGCAAAGTGTTGGGTATATAATAAGAGCTTAATAAATGTTTCTTCCTTTACTCTCTCTTTCCTCATCTTCCCTCCACTTCTCTCCCCTTCTTGGCTATGGCCTGGGAGATTGCCTTCCACAAACTCTCAACAAGAAAGGAATCTCTGTCAGTTATTCTCCCTGGGTTTCAGGCAGGGATGTGCTGAAAAATATTTAACTATTGATTCGGGGGGAGGGCGAGAGGGTAAAATATGAATGCAGGACACACTTATAAGTTTAATCTGCATTATTAACATTTTCTCCATCACTTTCTTAAGTCTAGATCCTAGAAAGGCAATAAAACAAGAAATCAAATCCCAATTTGTAGCATTGCTGGTTTACAAGGTATAAAACACCCACACTGAAAATTTAACATTCAGCTATCCCTAGCTGGTTTGAGCTGGTTCCAGTACAGTACATCTCTGGTTCAAGCCTTCATGTCTTTCTTACTCCTTCCTTATCTGGCTGCTTCCATGTTCCGAATTCCAAAAGACAACTTCTCTCTCACCTTTCCCTCTTTCCTTCACTTTGGCTTTTATATCCTAACGTATTTTCTATAGCTCCTCGAAGCCAATTTTACTAAATTTTGCTAGCTTCCTCTCCAGTTTTCTGGAGAATTGACCATCAGGGGCTAAATAATTATTGTTTTTCTGCTTCCAGCTGAGCAGCTATGGGACCTTAGCTCCTACCAGGTCCCACTGAACATCTCCAAACATCCTCTTTACATTACTCCTGCTTCCAGATTAATAATTGCCTTTCCTGCTCTGAACTCATACTCTCACGACCTTAGTTCTCTGTTATTAGCTAAGCTTAGCAAGCAGCATCATTATATATCATCATAGGTCATTGTTTTGAATATAGATTTAAATGTCAAATATCTGCTTTCTGGTGGAGGGAAGGGGATCCTGGTTCTGTGATTTCATTGGTCTAGGGAACTCCCAGAGAAAATTTTCCTTCCACCAAATGCAGAACAGCAACCATTTTGCAACTTACAATCTTAGAGGGTTGCCTTGGCCAATTGAGATGAAGGCATCTGAAGTTGCCTTGAATTAACAAATCCCCCAAAAGAGATAGTTTTCTTACTTGTAGCCACATTACATTACTTTTATGTAGTGCCATGTAACTTAAGTATGCATTAATATTTATCAGCTGATTGGAAGGTAAAGGATTCTGTAACCATTTATTTATCTTCTATAGTAGAACGTAAGCTTCTTGAGAGCAGAAACTATTTTTTTCTTAGTATCCCAATGCCTAGCTCAGAATGTGTACTTGATAAATGATTGATGAATTAAAATCAGTATAGTGCTTTCAATTTTTCCTAGGTTAAGTTTGTTTTCCTTTCCTAACCACATTGTACTGTGAAATTTTTTTACTTACTGCGGACTTAAACCTTACTACAACATAAATATGTGATTAAGGATGCTTATTTAGGTTAAAAAAAAGTAATGCTTAAAGGATACATTCTTTTTTTTTCCACCAGGGGATGTATGAATGTCTCTTAGAACTTTATTAGTCTTCCCTAAAACCACTGCATCTATAGGGAAACCATCCCATATCTCATTTATTCAGCTACAATCAAACAAAAACCCAGACCACTTTTCCTTTTTTCCTCTCTAATTCTAAGCACTGGGTAAAAACAAAACTAACAGAGTGGCTGTGACACTTGATATTTATATACTATTTTTAATTTTTTAAAAAATATTACTTATGTGTTTTTATATTACAATCATTTCTGGATAAACCCTGTTTCTTTATTAATCCTACCCTAATAACAAAAAGAGTTAAAAACAACAAACAACAATCTAATACAATGATCAAGCCTGTTAATGTATGCAGTATCCCATTCCTTTTTTTTGTTTTGCTTTACTCTTTTTTGTTTTTACATTATACTTACAGATTACTTTCTCCTCATGATAGATTTCTTGTAACATAGTAAAACAATTAAGTAAAACTAATAATAAACATCCTTAAATGTGTTCATTTTATAATATTGATGTTAAAATAAAAGTTATTCTCTTGGTTCTGCTTGCTTCATTCTGCATCAATTCTAAGTCTTTCCATATCTTTTATCTGTTTCCTCATTGCTTATAGCACACATTATATTTCCATTGTCCTCTCTACAAAAAGAATGGAGGTGTATCAATTACTCAAGTTTTAACTTCATTTTAGTGTTTCTAGTTTCCTAGAAAATTGAGGGCAGCTAGATGTTGCAGTTGACAGAACACTAGCCTGGAGTCAGGAAGACTCATCTTCCTGAGTTCAAATCTGGCCTTAGGCACTATTTGTGTGACCCTGGGCACATCACTTAATCCTGTTTGCCTCAGTTTCTTCATCTGTAAAATGAGCTGAAGGAGAAAATGGCAAACTGCTCCATTATCTTTGCCAAGAAAATCCCAAATGGGGTCACAAAAAGTTGGATGCAACTGAAATGACTAAGTAAAAGTATCCTGATGACTTAACTTGTATTATTTTCTCGGTTCTGCCTACTTCACTATACATGTTTGTGTGTCTTTCCATTTCTGTAAGCATGGTTCTTATTCCTATACTTTGCTTTTAAAGAGTAAACACAGAGGTTCTACTGAAAGTCCTCTTTCCTTGCTTTGTTTCAGCTTGTCCCAAGCCACAGGAGCTACCATTTTCCACTGTTGTTCCATTAAAACTGAGCTATGAGCCAGGGGAACAAATTTTGTATACTTGCAAGCCTGGTTATGTGTCACGAGGGGGAATGAGAAGATTTTTATGCCCTCTCACTGGAATGTGGCCCATCAACACCCTGAAATGTCAACGTAAGTCAGCTCTTTAGGTTGTATCATTTTTTCCCAACTGGAGCATGGGGAAGCCTTTGGGACACATTATGTCTTCTATGGGAGTGCTTAGACACAACTGATAATATAGAAATTGAAGGAGTGACAATGAACAAGAACCGGGAAAAATTTTAGGAGAAATAAATAAGAGCTTATTTGGAAACAATGGAGATGATCATTGACCTGGAGTTTTTGTGAAGCTATAAGACAAGATTTTGTCAGGGAACATAAAGGGAGGGAAAAACACAGATAAGAATTGGAAAAATGGTGCCTTAAATTCAACTTAACATCAAATGGGTACAAGGCAAGAAGTTACTGAGGCAATACTGTACCATTCTGCTTTTACATCAAAATGAGAATATATGTATTTAAAATAAGTTTGCAACTTTTGAACTGTTGTTCATCCCTACTACTCCCTAAAAGCTAAAAATATCCTTAGGCTGTCTATGCAAAACAGATGTATTAGACACAGTTGAGAAAGTCCAGTATTTTTGGTGCTGCATGTAGGCAGCTATGTGGTAGTTATCTAGACCAACTCTATGGCAATCTAGGTCAATAATTAAGTGCTCAAAAGTTACAATGTAAATTGTTCTGTGATCTGGTAATTTTGGTTATATGACCTCTTGTCAATCAGTTGCATCTACCTTATCATAAAAATTACTTGTGTATTAGCTTTTAAGGGAAAATTCCATGAAAATATATTAATTTTTGTTATCTTTCAAATTACAGCCAGAGTATGCCCTTTTGCTGGAATTTTAGAACATGGATCTGTGCGTTATACAACCTTTGAATACCCTAATTCTGTGAACTTTACTTGCAATAAAGGGTAAGACTTTTCATCCAGAGAAATTTAGAGTTGGAAGGGGCCTCAAGGGTTGTCTGGTCTACCCCCCTTATTTTACAGATGAGGAAACTGAGGCCAAGAGAGTGCTTTGTTCAAGGGCACAGAGATGCTAAGTGGTAGAGCCAAGATTTGAATCCTCTGGAATAAATTAGCTAACTAGGGGACAGCTAGGTGGCGCAGTGGATACAGCATTGGCCCTGAATTCAGGAGGATCTGACTTCAAATCCAACCTCAGACACATAACACTTACTAGCTCTGTGACCCTGGGCAAATCACTTAACCTCATTGCCTAGCCAAAAAAAAAAAAGAAGAAAATGAAGATAAATTAGGTAACTAAAAGAAGATATATTAGGTTCCTTTCTGTACCCTTCAACTAGGATGAGGGGGAAAAAAAAGTATCAAGTGTCTCAAATTAAATTTCTACTGACTTATCTAGTTTTGGACTAATCATTCTTCACCTTTGAGCTTCTCTTTCTGTCTTTTGGTATTTTTTTTAATAGGGTTAAGAACAGTGATTACAGATTCTTTGCTGAAAGCAAATAAATTGTAGTTTCTCTACTGAACTACAGACTAGAGATAGGAAGACTGGCAAAATGTAATATTGATTGCTAGATTTAATTTTCCTATTTCTGATTTACTCCTTTGTGGAAGAGGTAGAGTTAAAACCTTGAAACAACACAAGGACTTCATTTAAATTCTGGGTGAAGTCTCAATAATAGGGTTCAGGATTAAAAGATTTTAGGGATGAATTGTAGCTGTGAGGCAAATAAGACTGCTTAGCTGATAGAACAGGAAAACTAAATGGCAAACACTGACGGGGAGGGTAATGAACGGTGTGCCCATAAATGTTTATAAACCAGATCTCCTCTCCCCCAAAAAGTATACTTTTAAAGCATAATCTGCATTATTGACATTTCCTGAGTTAACATTTATTAGTTATATATGTGTTATATACATTTATAATTTTTAACATTGGAGGCCCAATTCAAATCTAGCCTCAGATACTTACTAGCAGTGTGACCCTGAGCAAAATCACTTAAATTCTGTTTGCCTCAGTTTCCTCAACTGTCAAATGGGGATAAAGATAGCACCTTTCAAGCATGGTTGTTGTGAGCATCAAATGAGATAATATATGTAAAGTGAACTTAGCACAGTGCCTGGCACAAAGTAGGTGCTATATAAATGTTTATCCCCTTCCTTTCCCTTTTTCCTATCTCTTTCTTTTGTCTAGCCAATCAACAAAATAGTAAATCAAGCCTTGAATTTTGTAGCATCTGCTGATTTCTGAGGCATAAATGCTCATACTGAAAATTTAACAATTGGATACCCTGAGCCTGTTCAAGCTGATTCCAGCAAGCCCTTAGCAATGAAGAACAAAGCCCATTTATTCTTCACATAGTTAAACAAAAGCAGTAACAAAGCACTTATTCGAGATTTTGTTGGTGTATGCACTCCCTCCCCTGACATACATTATAATGCTACTACGATTTGGTATTTTGCTGTGTATGTTGCTATGACTGAAAAATTAATCTCAGCTAATGTCCAGTCTTCTAAAGGAAGCTTTTCCCAGTCTCCCTTAATTTTAGTGCCTCCCTCTGAGATGATCTCCAATTTACCCCATACATATCCTGGTTGTGTATAGTTGTTTGCATGCTATCTCTCACAATAGAATATAAGCTCCTTAAGGGCAGCGACTGTCTTTTTTTCCTTTCTTTCCATTTCTAGCATTTAGCAATGATCCAGGATGAAGTGGGAGACCTTGACCTTTTTAAACTAAGGTCTTTCCTAGGTCTCAGTTTATCTGAGGTAACATCTGTTCAGTAGTTAAAGGCTAGGTAAGAATTGAGGTAAAGATGCCCTACTTTGCCTACAGAAAAGAATCAGTCAGGGAGGGGAAGACCCTCAGAGTTTCTGGCCAGAACAGAAACAATTGCTATTTATAGTCACTCATTGTTTTTTGTTATTTTTTTAAACTGAGACAATTAACTCTTTGTCTCATGTAGTTTTCATTTATGATTTCTTGACCTATAGCTCTGGAAAATCAGGCTTAGATAAAGCCCTTTGAGATTCAAATGGAGCTATTTGATTATGCCTTTAAACCCAAATCACTCTGGCTCTCATTGACTGGCCAATAATAGACCCCAGCCCTAGCCTCGCTTGCACAGTATTTGGGTTTTGAAGGTTCGGAGTGAGTGTAAATAACAATCGTTGTTGTTCTGGCCAGAGACTCTGAGGGTCTTTCCCCTTCCTGATTGATTCTGTTGTGAAGGCAAGGCTATCTTTTACCTCAAATTTCACCTAGGCTTTAACTACTGAATGGGTGTGGCCTCAGGCAAACTGAGAAACCTGGGAAAGACCTTAGCTAAAAAAGGCCAGGGTCTCCCACTGCATCCTGGACTATCGCCAGTTGTCCTGACCCATGTCTTGCCCGCAGGACTACAGTGACTCTGAAGGTGAGAGTGGAGCTGACAACTTTGCATAACTCTGCCTCACTTAAACCCAATTCACTTGCAAGGCAAGCCGTCATCCACCCTGATGTCACTGGTCCTCTTTGAGAAAGGACAAACAATAGCACTTAGCACAGTGCCTGGAAAAGAGTAGGCATTTAATAAATGCTAGATGACTGACTGATTAATCACTCTACCACTAATGTGATGACAAGTTTCTCCAAACTTAGGCTAGTCTTCAGGTAACAAATATAAAACCCAAGACCAACCTGTATTTATAGACTTTCCCACTTGGTAGGACTTATCAGAGATTTACTCTCTGCTGGCAATAACCTGTAAGAAGCCAGGAAAATATCATACTATATCACAGTGGAGTACCAGATGATGCCTATATGACCCTGGGGCAAGTCATTTAACCTCTCTGAATCTCAATTTCCTCATCTCTCTACACAGAGAGTGGTACTAAATGTTCTCTAAGATTCCTTCCATCTCTAAACATATTATCCTATGATTTTGTATGCTTTACTTTTCAAGCAGCTCGGTGGACAGAATAAAATGCTGGGCCTAGGGTCAGGATGATTCATCTTTCTGAGTTCAAATCTGGCTGGGTTAGTCACTGAACCCTGTTTGCCTCAGTTTCCTCATCTGTAAAATAAGCTGGAGAAGGAAATGGCCAACCACTCCAAGAAGACCCCAGATGTAGTCATGAAGTGTTAGAAATGACTGAACAACAAACTTTTCAAGCAAAGATATTGTGATGACACTGACAACAATCCTTAATTTCCAGTAAATCCTTTATTTCCAGTAAATCTCCCATAGTTGTTGTGAGAATCAAGTGAGAGAATATTTGTAGAACACTTAGCACAGCGCCTGGAACACAGTAGGCTTAAGCTTAGTAAATACTCCTTTACATGGAAACTCCCTTCACCAATTCAGATCAGCAGCTTTCATCACTTAAAATTTTATAGCGGTCTGGAGCATTGATTTAGAGGTTAAGTGACTTGCTCACAGTATATTTCAGAGGCAGGCCTTGAATCCAGGTTTTTCTGACTTTAGCCCACTTTATTGAGTATACCATACTGCCTTTCATTTATACTTTCTGGTTCATAAAAGAAGTTGGAAACATTGCCTAGTGATACAGATGAGAAATTCTGGGTTATTATTCCATCAAAGATCATAATCATCTCATTCTTTAGTGATCTGTCTACAGCATGAGAATTGTGCTTCCTCTATTGCCCAACTCTTGTGAGAATTCACCGTATTTGCTGATATGCTGAGAGCCTTATTTACTACTTACTATAGGGCAAGTAAATTGCTCATTTAGAGGTGGTACATTTTCCCTTTCAATAGCTCTGGAAGACATTTGTGCTCCATTATTAATAAATTATCTCAATCCGTAATGAAATGATTTCTCCCTTTTAAGGTTTTATCTCAATGGAACTGCTTCTGTTAAGTGCATGGAAGATGGAAGATGGAGCCATCCCCTACCCAACTGCTCTCGTAAGAACTTATTATTGGGAAAGGTCCCCTGAATTCTCCCTTCCTGGCTCAGAAGAATGCAACAACATCCTTTTGGAACCATAGATGGCTGCATACTGGAATTTTACTTAGTTTGGAGGCATACCTGGAATTTTACCTAGTTTTTTTTTTAAGGCAATTGGGGTTAAATGACTTGCCCAGGGTCACACAGCTAGTAAGTATCAAGTGTTTGGTCTGAGGCCAGATTTGAACTCAGGTCCTCCTGACTTCAGGGCTGGTGCTCTATCCACTGCGCCACCTAGCTGCCCTTGAATTTTACCTAGTTTGGTGTAGAGATTCCATTTATTAGAATTGATGGCTGCTATGGCTGACACTTCCAATATTTCTACAATACTTTTTTACAGCTGCTGTTGTATTCATGGGAGTTGATGCTATATAATTAGGAAAATCTTGGGGAGCACTCAGGTCTAGGCCCAATCCTCTTCCATACTGGGTCATGCCTCCAACAGGAGTTACTGATCATCCATCGTTCTATAGAACATGCAGGATATTCTATAGAACATAGAACATCCATAGTTCTATCCAAGAAATGTTGCAACAGAGCAATCACAGATAGGATATTGTTTCAGGGCACAGAGCAAGAAGAAACATTTTCAAACTCCTAAAACTGTAGGTTTACATAAGTATAATGTTGTCATCTGTAGGGCAAAGAAATTGTCTTGCAAACAATCATTCTTTAGATCTGAAGCATTAAGGGGGTGTAGTTAATAGAATGCTAGACTTGGAGTCAGGAGCACTTAAGTTCCACTTATGCCTTCGACATTTCTTGTGTGACCCCCGACAAAACACGCAATCTTTTTCAGTCTAAAAGTCCTCATCTGTATACAGAGGATAATAATAGCACCTAAAACATAGGGCTACTGTGAATAACACATGAAAAGTACTCTGCAAACCTTAAAGCACTGTATAAATCTATATTATTATTATAATTAATTGTTTGTTAGATGAGGTCTATCTCAATTAAGGAAAGTAGAGAGCTGCATTAAATTCAGGAGTTAAAAAACAAGCAAACCTGATATCCTAAATTCCAGACATACACAAAAGATCAATTAGGGTTTGACTATTTACTTTTCAAAATGATCTGTGTCTGAATTTCCTCAATAGCCAACTCCCCTAGAGCATTCAAACTGGTGAACTTTGGTCAGTTGTCAACAGGCCTGAATTTTGATTCCTGGCAAGATTTTAGGATGTATTACTAATTCGATGGTTAGTGGGAATTCAGAAAGGTAAGCTATGATTACCAAAAGATCAATATATAGTTTGATAAAGAGTCATATGATGACAGCATTTCCTTTTTTGGACAGAATTGCATAAATCAAGAGACTGCTTTGACACAGTCTCTTATTCATGCCTTCAGTCAGTTACATTAAGTGACCATTCTAACCCTGACCCTGGAATGTAGTAGTTATTTAATATGCCTGCTATGTGCCAAGCGTTGTGCTAAGTGCCGGGGATACAGAGAAAGGCAAAAGAGCCCCTGCTGTCAACGATCTTTAGTGGAGGAGACAGCATGCAAATATCTATGTGCAAGCAAGCTATATATGGGATAAATTGGAAATAATCAACAGAGAGAAGGCAGTAGAATTAAGGGAGAATCAGGAAGGGCTTCCTGTAGAAGATAGGATGTAGCTGAGACCTAAAAGAAGTCAAAAGAAGATGATGAGGAGGGAAAGAGTTTTAGGTATGGGGGACAGCTGGAGAAAATGCCTTGAGGCAGGAGATGGAGTGCTTAGTTTGAGGAATGGCAAGGTCAGTAACATTGGATCAAAGTGTATGCGGGGTATAAGAAGACTGAAGAGGAAGGGAGGGCAGTGATAGGTAGCTGTTGGAGTTGATTGAATGGGGGAGGGGGAAGGGAGGGTGTGACATGATCAGACTGGCACTTTAGGAAAATTACTTTGGCAATCCAGCGGAGAATGGATTTGTGGTTGGGAGATTAACCAGCAGGCTTTTGCAGTAATCCGGTTGTGAGGTGATGAGACTGTAAGAGAGAGAAGAGGACAGATCTGAGAAATGTTATGAAGGTAAAATTGACAGGCCTTGGTAACAGATTGGATATGGTGGGTAAGAGACTGAGGAGTTGAGGATGATACCGAGGTTTTGAGCCTGGGTGGCTGGGAAAAGGATGGTACCCTCGAAGGAGTAGAGAAGTTAGGAAGAGAGGAAGGTTTTAGGGAAAGATAAATTCAGTTGGGGACATATTGAGTTTAAGATGTCCACAGGACATGCAGGTGGAGATATCCAACAGGCAGGTGGAAATGTGAGAATGGAGATCACCGGAGAGGTTATTTGAAAATCATCAGCATAGAAATGATAATTGATTCCTTGGGAGCTGATGAGATTAACAAGTGAATTAGCACAGAGGAAGATAAAAAGAGAGTGCAGGACAGAGCCTTTCTGGACACCCACAGTTAATGGACATGATCTGGTTGAAGATCCAATGAAGTGTACGAAGTGGAAGCCAGATATGTAGCTGGAGAACTAGGAGTGAGTAGTGTCCCCAACATGTAGCTAGGTGCTGCAGAGGATACTGCAGTGGCCCTCCAATCAGGAGGATGTGAGTTCAAATCTGGCCTTAGGCACTTATTAGCTGTGTGACCTGAGCAAGTCACTGAACCCTGTTTGCCCTAGTTTCCTCATTTGTAAAACGAGCTGTAGAAGGAAATGGCAAATCACTCCAGTGTCTTTGCCAAGAAAACCCCAAATGGAAGCACAGTCAAACACTACTGAAAAATGACTGAATAGCAGCAAAGTGTTCCCCAAACCTAGAGAGAATATCAAGGAGAAGAAAGTGATCAACAGAGTTAAAAGATGAAGAGAGGTCAAGGAGGATGAAGACTGAGAAAAGACCATTAGATTGGCAATTAAGAAATCATTAGTAATTTTGGAGACAGCAGTTTCATTTCAATGTTGAAGTCAGAAGCCAACCGTAGTGACTTAAGAAGAGAGTGAGAGGAAGGAACTGAAGGTTCCTATTGTGAAAAAATCCTTTTCTAGGATTTCATTCATATTTATCCTTGTGAATAAGATATAGACATATGGGTTATGCAATAATACACTTACATGAATTTTGAATTGGGTGAATAACTAGACTCTTAGTTATTAGTGAATACATGTCTTCCTGGAGGGAAATCTCATGCTATGTCCCTCAGATCATTCTTTGACTTTGTACTACTCAACATTTTTATTAGTGACTGTGTTGAAAGCATAGATGGGATTCTAATGAGTTTTGTAGATGACATGAGGTTGGAGGAATAACTAAAATATTGGATGATAGAGTTTCATCCAACTCTTAGATTTTATGATTTTGAGATAATGTGATTTGATGAAAACACATTTTGGGAATTGTGTAAAGTGAAGTATACATATTCAGATTTTTAAAGAAAAAAAACGATTTCAACTTTAACCTAAATATGTCAACTAACGCACTTTTTCTCTTGAAGTATCTAAATGATGTCCTCAATTTTTTTTCCATTTTGTAAGTGTGGATCGACTTTTCAAAAATTAATTGATTACTTTTAGTTTTCAACATTCAGTTTTAGAAATGAGTATGGATATACTTGATGCCACTGAAAGCCTATGATAGACAGGTCTCATTTCTTTAGTGGTTTCAGTCATGTCTGACTCTTTGTGATCCCATTTGGGGTTTTCTTGACAAAGATACTAGAGTGGCTTGCCATTTCCTTCTCCAGCTCATTTTATAGATGAGGAAACTAAGGCAAAAGCTTTGTTGTCCAGTGGACACAGATCCATTATTTAACCTAGTTTGGATTTTTAAAAATTACTCTTCATGAGTCCTACAACTTTTACATTACTTTTAAAACTAATTTTAGCTTACAGTTGAAAATTTTTTCTCTCCACATCAGCATGAGTTACTTTTCATTTTATTTCTAGCTTTACTTTTTTGAAGGGATCAGGGTTTTAAGACTCAATTAGTCATTTAGAAATTGTTGTGCTTTCTTTTTACAGGTATAACTTGTCCTCCACCATCCATACCTAAACTTGCAACCCTAAAACTGCCTAAGTCATCAGCTAAAAACAGCTCCTTCTATCAAGACGCAGTAGTCCTTGACTGTTTGCCACATTATGCAGTGTTTGGGAATGACACAATTAGATGCACAGAACATGGAAATTGGACTGAAGTACCAGAATGCAGGGGTAAGTGCAACAATAAATTTTAATATTTTAATGTAATTAAATTAATTGAAATATTAGTATTTTAAGGTACGGTAATGTATGCCATACATTTTAAGAGAACTAGTTAAACATTTACCACCACATACCTGGTCCATTGCAAGAGATGCATATGATGGTAGCAAAAGCAAGATTTGGCAAACAATTGGATCTGTGTAGTGAGGGAAACAGAGGAATTCAGGATAATCCAGGGTTATGAACTTGAGTTCCTAGAAGGTTGGTGGTGTCATCTAAGAAACGGGAAGGTTGGATGAGGAGGGGTTTTAAATGGGAAAACAATGGGTTCATTTAGGACACACTGAGTTTAAGACATCTCCAGTAATCCATTTTGAAATGTCCAAGGGGCAATTGGTTATATTGGACTGAAACTGAGAAGATTGGCACTAGACATATAGATCTGGAAATCACTTGTGTGAAGATGATAGTTAAATCCATAGGCATTGATAAGGTGGCTGAGAGAGATTATAAAGGAAGAAGAAAAGCAGGCTCAAGGCAGAACCTTGAGTAATACAGTTAGAGATGAGTCAGTAAAGACCGAAAAAGAGCAGTCAGTGAGGTAGGAGGCAAACCAGAAGAAAAACTCAGAGAATGTACAGGAAGAGAAAGTGATCAACAGTGTCAAATATGGCAAATGGGCAGTGAAGGGTGAAGGAGGAAGACTGACAATTAAGAGTCGGTAACTGTGAAGAGAGCTTGATGAGTGATGAGTTTGGAAACCAGTTTGCAAGGGGTTGAGGAGTAAGAGGAAAGAAAATGTAGGCAGTGAGGGAAGACGGCTTCATTTAGGAGTTTTGCAGAGAAATGGCTTGATAAAATAGCTTGAGGTGATTATAGGGTCTATTGAAATGTTTTTGTTATGTTTTGTTCTTAAGGATAAGGGATACTTGTGCATGTTTGAAGACAGTAGGGAAGTAACCAGGTGATATGGAAAGGGTGAAAATTCAAGTGCCTAGGGGGATAGTGAAGGGAGAGGACAGGATCAAATATAGATAGATTTGTCTTAAAAAAGGGAAAGGCTGCTTCTTAGACAATGAAGGAAAGGAGGAGAAAATGGGAGATAATATCAAGAGGTTTTGAGGTAAGAATGAAAGATCTAGCTCATGGAAAATATCAATTTTCTCAGTAAAGTAATAGATAAAATCCTCAGCTGAAAGGGTTGGGGAAGATGTAAGAGACTTGGGGAGGGAAAAGGAGGGTGGGAATAACTTCAGTAGGAAGTGAACTAGGGAATTAGGAAGAAATAAAAGGATTATATTGTTGCAGTGAAGGCCCAGTTGAGATTGGGTAATGTGAGTTTCCCCAGTCGGCCCAAGAGGCTTTCTTCAGCTGTGTTCAGCTGCTCCTGAATAGGAGTAGAGGAGACATAAGATGACAATAATTCACGGCTGAAATTTGGCAAGAAAAGAACAGAAAGGGACCAAAGAATTCAAGAGGAGAGGACAATGCAGATTTGAAATGGCTAATATTGGCTTACTGTTGGAGTAGGAAAAAAGTAAAGTCAGATGGGGGTAATGGCCCCACAAAATACTGAGGGGTGATGGGATTAGAGGTGTCAATGAGGATGAAGAACAGGTAGAGGAGGGGTGAAATATAGAAAGAGGCAGAGTGAGAGGAGATTATGGTTAGATAAGGGAATGTCAGAGTTTCTGATTATGGGAGTGAAATGTTTATGCATAATGAAGAGATCTATTGTATGTCCATTCCTACGTATGGCTGAAGTGGAGTGAAGCCTTGGTGGGAATCTGAAGCATAAGTTTTTATGTCTAAGAAAAGTTAAATTCTTTTGCATTTATTGTGAAAAACCCATCTAATGACTCCAGAGCAAAAAATAGCTTAAGGTATAAGGGACTTGTGTTTATAAGGACCAAGGCCAATAAAGTCAGTGAGTGAAACCCGTTGGCTAACTGTTTATCAGTGTTGCTGAAGGCTGATCTTGATGGAATCAGGGCACAAAAAGGCTTTCTGTCTATGTATTTCACTGCAGGACTCTTACATAGGATGAGGACACCAGCAATAACTTGTTTTGTTATTTCTAAATTAAATAATGATATTGTGGGTAGGGTTGAGGAGATATGTATAAACCTATTTTATTTTTTTTATTTTCATATTCAAGAGAGGCAGAATGCGATTTTCTTCTTTTGAAAAAAAGTGCTACAAAGATTGCTAGGAGCTGTATATAATTTGTAATAAATACCTTGTAATTATCTCAAAAACTGATTTGACAGATGGTCAATAATTAATTATTACACATTTTTAAATGTTTTTAAAATAAAACCACTAGAGGCCCTTAAAGAGGAGAGAAAATGAGTTATTTTTGCTTTTCAAATGGGAAAACTGAGGTACTAAAAATTAAATGACTTTTTCAGGAATACACAACAAAGTTGTGGTGTAGTCAGCACTGTATTGGAGTCAGACCATACTGGCTCATGAGAGTAGATTATTAAATTTCTAATGTGAGCATTCACACTTCAGAAGTCAGCGAATGCTATAAATCAGGGCTTCATTTATTGTTCTACTAATTGGCTAGCCATAAGGAAATGATGGAAAAATGCTAATAATGCAGATTAAACTTAAAACTGTGCCATGCTTAAATTTTTTTCCTGCAGAAAGCTGGTTGTTAAACATTTGCCAGCACAGTGCTGCATATAGTAAAGAATTAAAATTCAAAACATTACAAACCACCATTGCATTATTATTTCTTTCTCTTTGACAAATATTTCTGTGTATATGTTTTCAGAAGTAAAATGTCCATTTCCAACAAGACCAGACAATGGATTTGTAAATTATCCTGCAAATCACGTACTTTATTATAAAGACAAAGCCACTTATGGCTGCCATGAGACATATGTCCTAGATGGGCCAGAAGAAGTAGAATGTGAAAAATCTGGAACCTGGTCTGCATCACCAACATGCAAAGGTATGAAAATATTTCGCATCATGGAAATTATTTGAATTTACCTGAAGGAATATCTTTATATATCACATTCTTGGTGCTATGACACATACCATAGTTATGCCACTGGAGTTACTATCTTGTACAAAAGTATTCAAATTTCATATGTGTATTAGATGGCCTCATATGTAGGAAATTTGCTTGGGATTAAACTTGGTGGCATAGACACAGAATCATAAAAACTCAGGGTCAGTAGAAACCTCAGAGCCCAACTAGTTCAACCCATAATTGAACAAGAAACCTTTCTACAGCCTTCTTGGAAAAAAAAAAGTTTTCATTATATCAAACTTAAATTTGCCTCTTTCAATTCCTACCTATTGTTACTAGAGCTTTCCTCTTAGGTCAAGTAGAACAGGACTAATCCCTATTATTTTTATATATGCTTTGTTTTTATTTTGAAGTCATTTCCAGATATTCCCCTCATTCACTCTCTCTTCCCTCACTGAACCTTCACTTGTAGCAAAGAATAACATTTACACAAAACCAACTGCCCTAGTGACTATGTCTGATATGTTCTGTACCATAGTCTCTACCTATTTAATGAAAAGAGGGAGGTGAATTTTCTTTCTCAGGGCCAATATTTTTGATTCCTTTTTCTTTGTGACTTTCTTTTATACTTGAATACAGTTATCATATACCCTGAAAGTCTTTCCTTCATGTTAAGTAAATTCCAGTCCTTTCATTGATCCATATATAGCATGAACTTGAGACCCTTCACCATCCTGAAAATATTGGCAATAAACTGATAGTTGGGAAAAGTTTTCTACAGTGGTCACTTAACTTTTTCAATAGGTTCATCTTTAATCATATGTACTATGGTACAGGGGTAGCTAGATGGTGCAGTGGATAGAATACCAAGCCTAGAATCAAGAAGACTCATCTTCCTGAGTTCAAATCACACTTAGTAGTTGTGTGACCCTGAGCAAGTCACTTAACTCTGTTTGCCTCAGTTTCCTTATCTGTAAAGTTATTTGGAGAAGGAAATAGCAAATTTCCAGTATCTTTGCCAAGAAAACCTGAAAAGGAGTCACAAAGAGTTGGACATAACTGAAAAATAACTCAGCAACAACCATGGGTGTTGGAGTGTATGGCTCCACTTAAGGTTTGAGAGGTTCTTCCATGCTAAAAAAACCTTGAGATATGCCTCTGGCAACAAAGATTAATTATAGAGGAACATGTCACCAGGAAGCTAGCTACTTGGTGATGGATGAACTTTTTTCAGCTATCACAGCCTATGAAACAAAAATGCAAACTGGCTCTTAATTTTCCATTCCCCTACCCTTCCTTATCAGCAGTGATTGTGGCAGAATGATAAGAAAGATGCAGAAGATACTAAGAATCAGACAGTTGTTAGACCATGTATAAATTTTAAGGGCAGCTAGGTGGCAAAGTGGATAGAGCACTACACTTAGAATCAGGAAGACTCATCTTCTTGAGTTCAAATCTGGCCCCAGATATTAGCTGTGTAACCCTCAACAAGTCACTTAACCCTGTTTGCCTCAGTTTCCTCATCTGTAAAAGGAGCTGGAGAAGGAAATGGCAAACTACTCTAGTATCTCTGCCAAGAAAACCCCTAAATGGGGTTATGCAGAGTTGGACACTACTGGAATGATGAACAACAACAAAATAAATTTTAATTTAATTGTTTTCACTCTAAATGTGGGATTCTTGTCAAATGACCAGTTAATATATATACTTCTGGGAATCATATCAATCTTGGCATTTTTAATAAACAAGACCATAGGAAATATATGACAGGAAGAGAAGATGAGCTGGTCGTGTGCTGTCAATGAAGGATTGCAAGTGGTCAACCAGAATATTCTAGTGTCACCTTCATCATGTCAAGAGAAATGAAGAAAGGGCTCCAGGGCTTTGGGTAAATTTTCTGTTGTGAACTTAGGAGAGGAAATGGACAAGATTTTCATAGGATAAACAGGCATCTGTGAGTTACAATCTAAATCACTGGAAGGATCTTTCAAATAGATGAATAGCTGATCCATTTGAGTACTTTAATCTAAATTTAATGTATTCTAACTTGTGTTAATGTTATTTAGCCCATGTCTTACCTCCTTACTAGAATCTAAGTAAGTTCTTTGAAGGTGGGCACTATGTCCTTTTCAATCTTTGTATCTCTGGTGCCTCACACTATGCCTTCTCAGAAGTTGAATTGATTGGAGGGAAATAACAATAATTTTACCATGCAAATTCTTGGGGACATGGTATTCAGTACATTCCCCAATTCACTTCACGGACCTACTCATAATCCACACCCTCCTCAAGGGAAATTTTCACCAAACATTCTTTAATTTGACTACCATTCACAAATCTTATTTCTTCCAGCATCTTGTAAAATTCCTGTTAAAAAAGCTGTGGTGCTATACAAAGGAGAGAAGGTGAACATCCAAGATAAATTTAAGAGTGGAATTCTGCATGGTGAAATCATTAGTTTCTTCTGTAAAGATAAAGAAAAGAAATGCAGTTACACTGAGGATGCTCAATGCTTAAATGGGAATATTGAAGTTCCCAAGTGCTTCAAAGGTGAGTTCAAAAGCTTAAACTTTATGGAAGAAATCACAAATTACCCAGTGTTCATTTTCTCTTGTTCCTGACCATATGTGTTAGTGATAACATTATTTTTCTTTGTTTGTACTCTTAATAGCATGTCACATTTCATAGTGAATAATTCTTGAATAATTCCACCCCTCTCTACTTATTTCCACTTTAACACAGTGTTTGGGATGAGGGAGTAAGTGTGTGATAGGGGATGGGAGGGTATGATGCGAGAAGTTAGGGCCTACGGCATATTCATCTTCAGAAGCATCTGTTTATCACTGAGGTTCCTACCACCAATTTCTAAACAACAGATTGGAACAAGATGATCTATAAAATACCTTCCACCTCTAAAAGTCTGACTCTTTAATTGGAGTTATACAAGAATCAGTAACAAAATCAATTGAATGCCTCATCTTCTATTATTTCTCCTTCCTGTATTTTTTTAAAAGGTCCAGTAAAAAAAAAAGACTTAAAAAAAAGACATATATTAGTATGTGTGTATGTGTGTGTGGGTGTTTGTGTATGTGTGTATGTGTGTGTGTGTGTGCATATGCACACAAACGCATGCTTGGCATGCAAAAAAGAGGAGAGAAAAGGAAAATGGGAATGATTCTTAAAGTCAAAGAGATGCGTTTTTTACACTTGAAATGTCCAGTTTGGGGGTTTTGTCCCATGGGAATAAGAAGCTGTTTCAGCCATAGCACTTTGTTCATATCTTCCTGTAGATTGAAAGTACGCTTGGGATGTTGAGAATCCTACACTCAGATCTGAGAAAGTGGATGTAATGTGTGTGTCTGTGGAAGTATATGTATATATTTGGACAGGAGAATGCTGGAGCCAAAGCTAACTGTTAAATTTTCAATGTGAGCATTTACGTCTCAAAAATTGGCATATGCTACCAGTCAGGGCTTGGTTTATTGTTTTGTTGATTTTCTAGACTTAAGAAAATAATGGAGAAAATGTTAATAATGCATATTAAACTTAAAAGTATATAGATTTTTTTAAAAAGAGCTGGTTGTTAAACATTTACTAGTATGCCACTGGGTTTGTAGAAAGATAGGAAGAAGGAGGTCAGGGGATGAGAAGCAGCTGGACGGGGAAAAAGAAGCGAATGCTTCCTAGCTCTTACCTCTGCTGCTCTTGTCTACCCTGAAAAGGATAATATAAACTGCACTGAAAGGTACCTCTGCTGTTAGCCCATGTTTGCTATTCCAAAGAGGCAGAATCATAGGATCTCAGAGTTGGAGGGGATCTGAAAGGCCAAACAATACAACTTATACCTGAAAAAAGGATTCTTTCTAAAATACCTGACCAGTGATCAACTCCTTTTGAAGACCTCCAGTGAGGGGAAACCCATTTCCTCCCAAGGCAGCTCGTTTTACTTTTGGATGGCTTTGTTAGAAAGTTTTTTTTTTCTTGTCAAGCTTAAATTTTCCTTTTTGTAACTTCTACTCAAAGCTCCCAATTCCTTCCTCCAGAAAAAATAAATTTTAATCTTTCTGTCCAGGATAGTTTTCCATATATGTGAAGACTCTTGTGCACTCCCTAAGTCTTCTCTTTTTTAGGTTCAATGTCCCCCTTTCCTTCAACCAAACCTCACATGTCCTTTGGTCAACCCTTGCTGTCTTCCTCTGGAAGCTTTCTAACTTTTAAATTAATATCTTTCCTAAAATGGGCACCTAGAACTGAATGCCATAGATCAGATGTTACCTGACAAGAGTAGGCTCTAGGGGGACTATCATTTCTTAATCCCAGACACAATGACTCTTTTAACGTGACCTAACCTCACACTGAGAGACAGTTCAGGGTAGTGGTTGAGAAATCCATACTGGCCATGTGAACCCTCTCCACCTCTTCTCTTCTCTGGAAGTCATTTAAACTTTCTATTTGCTGAGGAAATGCCCTTCACAAATGAATCACACATTTGGGGAAAAAAATACATCATCACATTTGCATTTTTACTGCCATATGATCCTTTTAATTTTTTTTTTGGGGGTGAAGCAATTGGGGTTAAGTAACTTGCCCAGAATCACACAGCAAGTAAATGTTATATATCCGAAGTCACATTTGAACTCAGGTCCTCCTGATTCCAGGACCCATGATCTATCCACTGCGCCACCTACCTGCCCCCAATCCTATTAATTAATATTGAGTTTGCAGTGCACTAAAACTCTCAGAGCTTTTTCTGATTTGCTGTATAGTCACACCTCCTTCATGTTGTACTAGGGAAGCCATTTATTTAAAAAAGCAAGACTATACATTTATCTGTATTAAATTTCATCTTACCAGCCCCAAGTCTGGCTCAAAGTTGTAGCAAGTCAGGACTTTTGGGGTTTTGTCATTCAGAATCCCTTCCAGCTTTATGCCATCTACAAATTTGATAAACATGCCTTTATTTAAATCATGATTGTTTTAAAAAAGCACTCCCCCAATTTCTGATTCTTGAGGTACTCTATTAGAATCCTCTTTCTGCAGTGGGGAAGAGAGAAGGGGAAAAGGTTTTGTGGAAGTTCATTTTTCTGGGCTTTCTTCTTAAAAGATATCATGAGGTTGGAATGTACAATGAGTGTGCTGGTAAATATTTGACAACTAGGTCTCTGGGGAAAAACATATGTGTGCCATGTTTTTAAGTTTAATCTGCATTATTAGCATTTTCTCCATCCCTTTCTTACGTCTGGACAATCAACAAAAAAATAAATCAAACCCCGGTTTGTAGTTTTTGCTGATTTCCATCACGCTGGAAATTTAACAATTAGCTCTCTTAAACTAGGAAGAGCTGGCTCCAGCATAATACTAAGAAACATGCTATCCAGGGCCTAACTTGGAATAAATTAGTACTAATCACAATACAATATGGCATCTGGGGGCAGGGGGTCTGTGTTGCTTCTAAGAGTGATGCCCAAATAGAAATCAGCAGGAAGAAAATAGGAATTGGACAAAAATTCAAAATAATCCATAGTCCTGAAGCAGATGCAGTTTTTCAGGCTTTTAGCATAGTCCTCAGACAGATGTTCCATTCATTATGGTAATGATTATGAAGATGAATTTCTATCTATATGACAGACGATATGTGGTAGTGGACTGTGGGCTGCCCTTGGAGTCAGGAAGACATGGGTTCCAGTCTTACTTCTTTTACATATACCCTGTGTGACCATGGACATCTCTAAGGGCCCCCAGACAACTCTCTAAGACATTAAATTATAAGAAAATACTGAATCTATATTAATGGATGAAATTTAAACACTTGGACTTCCTCATATTGATTAAATTATAGGTCTAAAAAAGGTGTGCATATGTATATATGAATACATATATTTATACACATATGTTTGTGTACACATATATTTACACACATACACATATACATACAGGGTGTCCCAAAAATCTTAGGGCAAGCTATAGCTTTAAATTGCACTAAGAATTTTGGGACACTGTGTATGTGTGAATGTATTGCACATGTGTGCATATGTGTGTATGTTTAAGCCCCAGCTCTCACAGTTACCTAGATCCTCTTATTTTTTTATCCTGAAACTGTAGAACCATTTGCAACATCTCTTCTCCCTTGAGTTAAACTTCAAACAAAATAGCTTCATTCAAGTATCAAAATCATTTTCTATAGCTTGAATATATGTAGTTATATATTTAATATGTTTGTATATGTATTTAATTTGATTTAATTTAATTAATAAGCTCCCTTAAGAATTGTACATCCACTTAAAGTGACCACCTTTTTTTTTTCTTTCAACAGAACACAGCTCTTGGGCTTTCTGGAAAACAGATGCATCAGACAGACAACCATGCTGAAGTTGTTTAAAAATTCAAAATTCAGTATAAAATATTTGTATCTCTTAAAATCAAAGATGGAGGAAAACTAAGTTCTCAAATTCTTTCAGCTCTTCTAACACTTTTCCTTTTCATAGCTTACTCAATTTCCTTCTTATAGCTAAGTGACTTGAATATCATTTTCATAGTGGTAAAGTAGACAGTGGAAACATTTGTCAGTTCACTTCAATTCCTTAGTACCATTCCATTGCTTCACAAAGATTTGCCCACAAAACTACAGATAAATGACGCATGTGTCTTCGAGTGTGAGCTGTCTATGCAATTTCATTAATTCTCCATTTTGGTGTGAATTAATAATATCTCTATGAATCAATTAAACAGCAAATAGCACAGACAGACCTTGATTAAATCCAAATTGAGTGAATTATTCTTTTCTTTTGTGGAGTTTATATTTCAACTACTGTGAGGTAATATAAACAATTCTCATTAAGCTATATTGACCTATACCCAACAGACCAAGTTGGTTTCATCTAAACAATGTTTGAGAAATTGTTTGACTTACTTTTAATAGAATTAAATTGGATTCTTTGTTTTATTCCTCTATTTTATGGCCTTTGCTGCAGAAGTAGAACAGGACCATACAAGTTCAAGGGCTATTTTGTATGTAGCCAGGTTGGAGATGGCTGGGTGCTAAGTGCTGGGTGGTTGCCTGAACAAAGCACACCATGCTGTCACTACTGATGACTTACTTATTTAGGGGTTAAGTTTCTCTTCAGGTTCAAGAGCAGTCAGGCACATGGCTAGGCTCAGAGATGAATAAAATTGAAGAAATTTTCTCACTGATTTACCATTACTTCAGCCTGACCTGAGAAAAATCTCTTCCTCTCTGGGTTAGCTTCCCCTCTCTCAATCTCAGACAGCACACATATAGTGTTGGATTAAAATCACTGTTAATGCTCATGTTCTTTAATAGTTGCTGTGCTAACACAGAAATACAAATAAGCATTTAAATAAGCAGGCTTCCACTTGCTGGTTGTGATGGCTTCAGTGGGTAGGGTTGAATCTCTTCCTCTTTTCCTCAATGGGAAGAAAGTGGTTCAACTGGTAAACAGAACTTCCCAGGACAGTTTCTAGAAAGCAAAGGCTGGAGGGTGAGAGTGGTTTGTATTTGTAAGACATTGTGGACCGGGCTGTGCACATCTCACCACCACAGTTCTGGTTCACAGTCAGCACTCTACTTCAGTCCAATTATGGTCAACTGTCTGCTTTAGCCTTTCCAGATGGCTGGCTGGAGCACTGCTCTGCCTCACTTTTATGCCTCAGTTTCTTCAATACATGCTCTGCTGTGCCACAAGATCTGCTTCACTTGCTTCCCCTAATTCCTGTAGACCATAAAATAAAATAAATGACACTTTACTAATTAAGAGATTGTTTAAAAAATCAACATCAAAGTTAAAAGGATACAAAATGTAACTCCTCATTCCCCTCCATCAGGCAAGGAACTCAGGGAAAAAAAATATTCCCTGCAGGCTGTAAGAACTTAGCTATCTTATTTGGCTGTATCCTTTTAAAATTTCAAGTAGCAAGGAAACCAGCCGGTTTTCTGGCTTCTTAAAGGATCAGCTTAACCCAGTACACCTTACCTGAGCTGCTCCCTGGTGTGCAGAATGCCAGCTGCCTAGAGGCAGATGAAGTGTGGACAACACTGGGCTTGGAGTCAGAAGACCTGAGTTCAAATGTGGCCTCAGATGCTTACTAGCCATGTGACCCCTGACCAAGTCATTTAACCTCTATCTGTTTCGGTTTTTTCAGCTGTAAAATGAAGATAATAATAGCACCTACCCTGAAGGGTTGTTGTGAGGATCAAATGAGACATTTGTAAAGCACTTAGCACAATGCATGGTTTAGTAGGTGCTTAATAAATGCTTCTTTCCTTCCTTCCTTCCTTCTTTCCTTCCTTCCTTCTTTCCTTCCTTCCTTCCCTTCCTTCTTCCTTCCTTCCTTCCTTCTTCCTTCCTTCTTCCTTCCTTCTTCCTTCCTTCCTTCCTTCCTTCCTTCCTTCCTTCCTTCCTCTTTCCTTTTCCTTCCTTCTTCCTTCCTTCTTCCTTCCTTCCTTCCTCCTTCCTTCCTTCTTTCTTCCTTCCTTCCTTCCTTCCTTCTTCCTTCCTTCCTTCTTCTTCCTTCCTTCCTTCCTTCTTTCCTTCCTCCTTCCTTCCTTCCTTCCTTCCTTCCTTCTTCCTTCCTTCCTTCCTTCCTTCCTTCCTTCCTTCCTTCCTTCCTTCCTTCCTTCTTCTTCCTTCCTTCCTTCCTTCTTCTTCCTTCCTTCTTCCTTCCTTCCTTCTTCCTTCCTTCCTTCTTCTTCCTTCCTTCCTTCCTTCCTTCTTCCTTCCTTCCTTCTTCCTTCCTTCCTTCCTTCCTTCCTTCCTTCCTTCTTCTTCCTTCCTTCCTTCCTTCTTTCCTTCCTTCCTTCCTTCCTTCCTTCCTTCCTTCCTTCCTTCCTTCCTTCCTTCCTTCTTTCCTTCCTTCCTTCCTTCCTTCCAGGGAAGCAGAGGAACAGAGACCAAGGGGGAAGGGATGAAAGGAAAAGGAAGGAGGAGGCGGCTTGGCAATGGTTGTAGCAGCAGAAGGAGTGGAGAAATGCACTTAGGAACAGGCAGACTGCTTCTTCCCAGAACTTGCCCCTGCATCCCACTTGATGCCCACACAAAACCAGCACAGTTTCTATCACATCCCACCGTTTGGTGTTAAGGTCTCCACAATTTTCTAGGGAATTTCTCACCACTAAAAAATGGTAAAAACAACAGCAGAAAATGGAGGAGGCATTACATGCCAACATCATGAAGAATCTGCAAAATAGTGGCTAAGTGATCTAAGAGGGAGTTCATAAAAGTTTTCTCAAGTATAAACAATCATGTTGGCCAGGAGCAGCATGAAGAACATCAGGTCCACTCCATAGCACTGCTGTGGTCTGAGAGGTTGAGACCCCTCAAAGACAGGAGTACAGAACGGGGTTGTATGAAATGAATTCACAGACTCAAACATTCTTTAAGTCAAGGTGGCAAGGATTTATTGTTATGTTTTTCAGTGGTCAAGGATTCTTAAGGAACCTGCGAGAGACTGAGGACGGAGCTAGGGTTTATGTGGAAAAGGGCATGGGAAAGGAATGTCAGGGATGCTGATCAGGTAATCTAAAGGTCCAGGTGTCTTTGGGAGCTATGGATGGGAAAGTGTAGGGAGTATACCAGACAGGGAGGGAGATGACAGAGGCACGGATCTTGGGAGTCTGGCAAGAGGAAGAGTCCTTGGGCCAGCCAAGGACAAAAGTCCTTGGGCCAGATAAGACACCCCCCTCTCTCTCTGTCCTGATTTGAGAAGGGAAAGCTTTCTAATAAGACAGGAGCTTACTAAGGAATTGGGAGGCTTCCAGAGACATGATCTGAGGGCTAGGGCCTGAGCAGCCCAGCACTCTCCCACCCAGCTTTGTGTAGCCACACCAGGAAGAGAGATAAGGTCTTGCTGGGGCCCACGCATGAGTAATTGCTAGGCACAGTGTCCTAGGGCGGGGGAGAAATTGTCAGAGACAGTGTTTCTGAGACTAGGGAGAAATTGAGGTCCAAGTACAAGCACAAGCAACCAAGTGCAAACACTCAAACACTCCATCAGCACCACCTGTTCAGTGTTACACAGCCTACCAGCCAAGACATCCCTCTCCCTAAAACCCTATGAGGAAAGTGTTCCAAAAGTTTGGCCCCTTTAGAGGCTTCTACCAAAATCCCCTTCTTCTCTGGGAGTTGGATGAATACTCTTGAGACAGATGAAAAGCCCAAGAAACAGAGTTTCTGGGTAACAGATAATCAATTTACTAATTAGGCTAGTTGATAATCAATAAATTGATGGTCAGTGGCTTTTCTCAGTAACTGAAGACAATACCATGGAGACTGATAAATAATTAAGTACCTCTGGAAAAGGAAGTGCCCCTGATAGGTGTGAAAATCAACCTTGATTAGTGAACAATTAATAAATGGGTGGACTTTCAAATGAGGAGTTGGGATGAAAGCCTTCAGTTCTTTCTGCTGAGAACGTGGCTTGATCTTGAGACTCAGCAATCTGGACAAAGGAATCCATCTCTACCCAGACCACTCTGGTTGGTTTTCTCCTTCATAAGCCGGGTCTCCTTAAACTCTAATGGAGGGGTGCAAGGACATAGGCTTAATGCTTTGGGATTGGAATTTACCTAGTTTGGATTGTATTGACATTCTAAACAGAAGTAAGGTCTCTTAGTTGTGTGGGGTCCTGCCCAAGATCAGGCAATTTCATCTATCAGCAATGTCCTTCAAGGACTTACTGACTTTCAAAGGTTGGTCCCTGAGTGAGGAAACAGAGAAAAAAAGCCCGGATCCTAATTAATAATGGGTATTAATATAATAGAAAATAATAATTTCTCTATTTCCCCCTCACCTTCAAGGGCTCAAAATTATTTCCAAATAAGCTAAAGGATCTTCCCTTTTCCCAGGTAAGTTCATTTGCCATGACTGTAAAAAAAGTTTCTTTTACCTTCCCCATTATTAAAAAGCAAAATTCCTCCCAATAATTCTACTCCTTGGTCCCCCAAATCCTTTCTAGAAAAGAATTATCCAAAACATTCTAGAAAAAAAGAAAGCATGCCAACTAAGGGTTACTATTTCCCCAGGCAAGTAGGGAGTCAGAAACCTTGGGACCCGAGCAACTCCACACAGGATGGAATCATAAAAAAACTGGAGATGATCAACTGTGACTCTGCATGTAAATGTTATTGTTTTTGTTGTCATGTCCAACTCTTCATGACCCCATGGATCATATTGTCCATGGGGCTTTCTTGGCAAAGATACTGGGGTGGTTTGCCATTTCCTTCTCCAGCTCATTTTATAGATGAGGGACTGAGGCAAACAGGGTTAAGTGACTTTCCCAGGGTCACATAGCTAGTAAGTGTCTGAGACAAGATTTGAGCTCAGGTCTTCCTGAATCCAGGTCCAGCACTCTATCCACTGAGCCACTTAGCTGCCTCTGGACATCGAGGTAGTCCATCCTGATTAGGTGAGTCCTCCAGAAGGCAGGATCCTAGAACCTGCTGGAGTAAAGAGCACCAATGCCTTTCTTGGGTTAGTGCTAATTTATCAACCAAAAGGCAGATTCTGAGAGATAGGATACCCAACCTTGATAATCAGGGATGCAGTGATGAAGTTGCTATTTGAAAAATTCTTTCCTATATTCCATATCAGCTGTCCATGCAGGGTATATGGAAGCTGGAAAAACTCAGTAAAGGTAGTGAGTTTGGCCTTAGTTTTAGGCCCTCTCCTCAAAAAAATGCATACCTTGCACAAAGGCCCATGAAAAACAAGGATATATTTTGTAAGGGCCTTGATAGTAGCTGTCACATTAGCAGATTTAACTGGCACTATAATCCCTTATTCTAAATAAGAATCAACTCAGCAGGGGCAAACTTCTTGCTCTTGGTGAAGGAAGAGGGTTAAAATAATCGAGTTGCCTATCAGAGGCAGGTCCAAAACCATGTGGGATCATGGCATATTGATAGTTCTAAGGTAAGCATCCCAATTG